TCTGCTCCTATGATGCTGCTTGGCCTGCTGTGTTCATCCAGCCCTGCCCCTTTTGTAAGTCTTTATGTTAACTGCATTAAGAGCAATAACCCTCATCAACCTCATCTCATCAAAAGCTTTAATTTAAGTAAATGTGGTTTTCCCTTCAGAAATCCATGCTGTTTTTCCTTTAATTAGTTCTTATTTTCCCAAGTGACTGTTAATGTTATCCCAAAAATTCCCATCGCTGAGGTTAAACCAACAAACCTAAAGGGGATGGACTTAACTTTGCATCGTTTTTTTGGAAGAACTGTGCCATTTGCATTTCTCCAGTTGTCTGGCGAAGGAAGGACTTTGGAGTCTGAGGGAGGTTTGCAAAATCACAGCCATTGCCTTTGCAGTTTCCATTGGCTCTCTCTCCCATACTCAACAGTATTTGCCTGCTTGCTAAAGATAGATGCAAAGTATTCATTTAAGTTCTCCAGCCTTGCCCCTGCCTGGATGGGTAAATCATCTTTTTGGTCACTCATCAGTCTAACTACTCTCACCACACTCTTACTAATTATTTGCACTGTTACAACAAAGTTAGGAGAGGTGAAATGATGTCTTTCCTCATCCCATTCATTTATCTGTCACAACTAAGTTTGAATTGAAAAAGGGAGGTGATATTGTCAATTTTATATCACTGTTTTCAGCTCCATATTGGAAATGAGTCACTCAGAATCCTTTAGTAACAACTATAAGTGTTTATTACAAAGATATGAGGATCATTAGCAAAAGGTTTTAATTGTACACGTGTGTATTTATGTAGGCTGTGTTTTCTGATTTCTCTGTCTGGCTTTCTTTCCCCACCACCCCCGAAACGTTCGCATTGCACATGTGGAAGTTCTGCAATGATTAATTTATTGTTGTAACATGTACTGAGATACAGTGAAAAGTGTTATTTTGTGAGCTACACAGGCAGATTGCACCACACAAAGTGCATCAGGGCTGCAGAATAGAGTGTAGAAAACAGTGTTACAGCCGCAGAGAAGGTGCAGAGCAAGAGAGAGAGAGAGATCTGTTTGACAAGCGCATTCAAAAGTCTGATGCCATTCGTATGCGTATTCAAACTTTTATACCTTCTGCCCAATGAAAGGGGATGGAAGAGAGTACAACCAGGGTGGGAGGGGGTCTTTGATTATGTTAGTTCCTTTCTTGATGCAGCGGGAAGTATAGATGGAGTCAATGGATGCAAGGCTGGTTTGTGTGAAGGACTGGGCTATGGTCATGATTCTCTGTAGTTTCTTGTGGTCTTGGGAAGGACAGTTGCCATGCCACGCTGCAAAGCATCCAGATAGGATGCTTTCTATGGTGGAACTATAAAAATGGCAAAAGTCTTTATGGACATGCTGAATTTCCTTAGCCTCCCAAGGAAATAGAGACATTATTGTGCTTTCTTGACCATCGCATTGACGTGGGTGGATCAGGACAGATTGGTAGTTATCATCGCTTCCAGGAACCTGATGGTCTCAACCATCTCCACCTCAGCAGCATTGATACACCCAGGGGCGTGCCCTCCACTCCACTTCCTGAGGTCAATGAACAACTCTTTCATTTTGCTGACTTTGATGGAGAGATCATTGGTTTTACACCATGCTGCGAAGTACTTTATCTCTTTCCTGTATTCCATCTCGTTGTTTGAGATCTGACCTATAACAGTGGTTTCATCAGCAAACTTGTAAATGGAGCTGGGGCAGAATTTGGCCACACATTCGTGAGTGTATAAGGAGTATAGTATGGGGCTGAATACACAGCCTTGCGGGGCACCGGTGTTGAGGATTATGGTGGAGATGGTGTTGTTGCCTGTCCTTACTCATTGCGGTCTATGGGTCAGCAAGTCAAGAATCCAATTAGAGGGGGGAGCTGAGGCCTGGGTCTTGGAGTTTAGGGATGGGTTTGTTTGGAATTATAGTGTTGACGGTGGAACTGTAGTCAATAAGTAGGAGCTTGACAGATGTATCCTTGTCATCCAGATGCTCTAAGCATGAGTGTAGGGCCAGGGAGATCTGTCTGCAATGAACCTGTTGCACTGTTAGGCGAATTTCAAAAGATCCAGGCAGTCTGGTAGGCTGGAGATGATGTGAGCCATGACTAACCTCTCAAAACACTTCATAAGTATGGAGTTTAGAGCCATCAGGCAATGCGCGTGTTGTGAAATGCTCTGCCAGTAAAAACCAGGGCATCACCCAAAAAAGGTACAACTTAACTGAGCAGATGGGACAGAGTGACATCACTGGCAAGGTCTCTCTGCCTGAGTTCAATATGGTTTACGCCAATAAACAAGGTCACACAACCCTTCTCTGAAAGTGCTGCCGACTCAGATTTGAATGATGCAGCTTCTGATCTTTACTGTTTAGCATCATGTGCTTTGCAAACTGTTCTTGTCAGAAAGCTCAAGATATGTGTATGTCCAGCTGATGATATCAGTTAATATTTTCAAATAACACCTCTTCACAAGCATTGTATTATCCACCTGTCTGCAATAAGCTTAATTTTTTTTTGATTCAACTTAAATTTGATCTCTTTCATTATCTAGTGACCTCCTGGATTTTTTTGCCCCAGTTTTGCCCATTGTGGAAATATACTTTGACTGTTCATGAAGTGTCTCTTATTTACACTGAAATAGAGCTACTACGTGTGATGTACATAGGATCCCAGTCTGGGGTGGACATCTCTGGGTCTGCTTTCCTTTTTTACCCAGAAGTCCTCTTACAACTGAACAGCTTTTTCCTGCCCCAACACCAAATCTCTGTGGCCTGGCGTCTGCTTTATTTATTTCTTAAGCGCACTGTTCAAAGATGTTATGAGCAGGTGAGATTTGAACCCAGGTCTCCTGGCACAGAGGTAGGAACACTACCACTGCAACATAAGAGACTCTCCAAGCCTACTTTATCTTTTTCTTCATTGTACCGGAAGTCTACACCCAACCAAACCACTTTCCCACCACCAAATCAATGTGACTTTTATTTTTAAACAGTTAATCGCCCATGTAGCCAATTAGAAATTTACATGCAAAGCTCATTACCGGTGACGCACGCTATCAAAAGTGTGGGAGGTGTTGGCAGAACAGCAAGGGGCTACATTACCAATCTGCTTTCTTTTCCTGGGTCTGCTTTACAGTTATTTTAATCAATGTGTTTGGATGTGTTATGACAGAACATGGGCAGGTGGGACTTGAGCACAAACCTTCTGACCCAGAGGTAGAGACGCTACCACTGCATCACAAGACCCTCATTTGAGTCTGCTTTATTTTTCTCATACTCAGAAATGCAATCACGCACAACTAAACAACTTTCCCACCACCAAAATCACCATGACTTTTTTGTGTGTTTTTTTTCCAAAAGTAGTGACCACCACCAGTTTAAAACAGCAGTTTAGTCAATTCAGTATTTATACGCAAAGTCTGTTAAGCCATCAAAAGTGAGGGGAGGGGGTTTAATGAGAGAAAGAAGGGACTAAATCAAAATGGAGTTGGAGGGGGAGAGAAAGCTCTGTATTCCCTGTGTTGCCCACCTTGTCTAACGGCATTGAGACCATTGATGGACACTACATGTTCCCTCTCCAAAGGCACCCAGGCACGAATGTAACTGGGCCTGTTTTACAAAGGGCTCAGGTGATGATTTCCAGCTGGGCAGGCCATTCATTCCCTGTTACCAAGGGAACTCATCAACTCCGCAGAGAGCCTAATTATTGATTCCTCCATGGGCTTTATATGGGTTATCACAAGAACTTAAAGGCAAATTGCTCAATGTGTAAATCTGTTCAGAAAAAGAAACGGAACTTGTGAAATTCGTCGCAATGCAATATTTTTAAAAACAATACTGGATCACATCATGTCGTCATATGTGAGTGATTTTGTTTTGTTGTAAAAATTAACACACAGCTTATGTAACTCAGTTTCCTCCCAAAACACTTTTGAGGACCTTTCCTCTTCAAAATGTTCCTGTTTCATTTCTGAAGGTTTTGGAAATCACAAAGTATGTTTTGGGTTCTTGTTCTTCAAATTATACCCAAAAGTTTCTTTTAAGTTTCTGATCGTACTGAGCTATTCTTGATCACCAGTGGTAATTACCCAAAATGGCCTCCATAAAATTAGAAACAGGACTGGAGATTGTAAAGGATGATGAAAAAGTCTGTACATTGTTACGACTCTTGAGCTATTGGAGCGATAAAACATACGAGTGAACGAATTGGTTGTACAAAGTTCATATGTGATCTTAGTTTTATTCAGGAATAATTTGTGTCTTACCTTTTCCCACGAGTGAATGAAAGCAGAGCTTAATAGAAGCTGTTTAGATGATTCACTGAAATAAAATTGATGATGTTTGGCTTGTTAATGGATCGGAATTGATGAGTCAAGTGGCCAGCCTCGTTCTGCATGTTGTTTTGCTTTTAAGGTTTATTTTTCTTTTTACTACAGGAAGAAGTCCCAATGCAGCAGTTCTCGAAACAGCCTATAATTCTGTTGTTTCAACTTATGTAGCCCAAGTTATTGATCTTAATGATGGAGTTCGAAAAACCAGGGCACCAGCTCTGGTTACTCCCATCACTGTCACTGTAGGCAACAATGATAAAAGTCATGGATATGTTAATCAAGAGTTGACTCCTTTAACCGCATACCGGTAAGTTCTGCGATAATACATGTTTAATCAATTACTGGAAAGAAACTGCACTGTTCTGAAATACAATGTGATTATTATCTCTCACATCTGTAATATTATTGGGGGAAAAAAAAATCACTCCTTTCAGAGACTTCTGTCCCACTCATATAGGAAGGTATGGGACCGTTATTTGCCTCCTCACCCATTTAGGAAGATATTGAATGCAATTTACTTTCCCACCCAGCACGTTATCCATAAACAGCAAAAGAAAGTTAGATGTTAGATTGAAATAGTACTATCTAATTTCCTAGAAACACAGTTTATGTGCAGGGGAAAAGGAGGAAGATGGTCTTGCTGTAGCAAGTTCTATACAAGGGTGATGAGAATGACTGATGCATTTTAACTATTGGTCTGATATGGAGGTCGTTTAGTAAAATGGTAGAGTCCCTGTCTGTGGGCCAGAACTGTGTCCAAATCCCATGCATTGAATATACATTTCTAATGTGTGTAAACAGGTTGATTGTCAGTCTGTAAATCATTTCACGATATCAGAGGCAGGTTGTAACAACAGAGGAGTTTCCTGGCCAGCCATTCTGCAAAATGCAGTAGCAAACAGCTGCAGTGCCTTATCCATAAGCATGGACACCCACGCTCAACCCTTTGTAATGCAGACAGGAGAAAAGACAGATGCTATTTAGTTCCCTGTCCTCCGTTTCTTTCATGGTCAGTGGTGAGCACGTTTGTGCTCAGTTTACTTTTCAGAAGCTGTGTTACAAAACTGATTTGTAATAAAGCCAATCCTCACTTCATATTGCAGTTGCATTACTGAAAAGCACAACGTTAAGTAAAATGTTATTAACTGAGGCAGAATTTCCCATTAGAACCCATATAAGTACTGCCGCTGCCCACAAAGTCTCCTGCAGCCTCACAGCACTGCCCATTTTCAGCTGGGACTTGTGATTCTGGGTCTGCACAACCTTCCCAAAGTAAGTCCAGTGAGTGCAGAATTGTGGGGTTGATGGATGGATGGATGAATGGTTGGTTGGTGGATAGCTGGCTGGTTGAATGGGGTGGAGGGACTGGTCAGGTCTGGAGGGTACTCGGGTCAGGTTGGATATTCAGGTGAGAGGGTGCAGGTTGGTGGTGGTGAAATTGTGATGTCAGTTCTGATGCTTTGGTCAGTTACTCTGGCTAAACACTGATGTAGAATTGGTATTTGCCTGGTTTAGAAACAACGTTTTCCAGTTTAAGAAACAAGCAAGCCCTGTGTATTTGGATTCAGTCTATGACAGTGGGATCGGTTTCAAAACCTTCTTTGCAAGGTCCAACACAGCTCACATCAGCCACTTTAGCACCCATGCAGGTGTCAGGACTTGTGCAGTGTCCCCAGCAACTTAAATCCCTATTACACTGCTCTAAACCATGGAAAGTTTGGGTTAGTAATGCATTGTAACTGAAATATTTTTATTACCACAAAGACGGGGAGAATCGCAATGTCTTTCTTTAGTTCCATTGTCATAATTCCTACCAGATTCACCAGATCGAGAGTATTTTAGCAATAAACTGAAACTACTTGGACTCGGGCTATTCCCCTTGGACCAGAGAAGACTGAGGTGGGTGGTGACGCATAGGTCCAGTAGCTTCAGCATGTTAGATAACAAGGTGTAGAGCTGGATGAACACAGCAGGCCAATCAGCATCAGAGGAGCAGGAAGGCTGACATTTCGGGCCTAGACCCTTCTTCAGAAAAAGGTTCAGCATGTTGTCTGTGAAGATGGTGTCACTGGGGTCTTGTTCTTGTTTTAGTCGTGTTGTCAGTGTTTCTCTTGCTAGTGGTATGTCTATCAATGTGAATGGGGCAGTAACATCAAATGATACCATGGTCTCGTCATCATCTATTCTTATGTCCTTGATGGCATTGAGGAACTCATTGGGTTGAGTGGGGTGACTTGCTGACGAGGTGCTTTAGTCTCCTTTGTAACTCCTTGGCTAATCTGTGTGATGGCGTGCCTGGCAAGGCACCATGTTGAAGCTACTGGACCTATGCCTCACCACCCACTTCACCTTTAATGGCCAAATATATAAACAGATCAACGGGACACCCATGGGATCACCTATCTCCGGACTAATAGCTGAAGCTGTGATGCAGAGACTTGAAAGTATGGTCCTTCCGCTAATCCAACCAAAACTCTGGATACACTACATGGATGACACCTTCGTCATTATTAAACAGACCACACTAGGGGAGACACATGAACTAATAAACAACACTCTCACCAGGATCAGATTCACCGGAGAAGAACAAACAGCTCCCATTCCTGGATGTCATGGTGGAACGCAGGACAAATGGGGCAATTCCTAATAAAGGTACACAGGAAAGCCACACACACTGACCAAGTACTGAATTTCGACAGCAACCACTCTCACACCCAGAAACAAAGTTGAGTGAAAACTCTATTTAAACAGGCAACAACACAGAGCTACGCCAAAAAGAAGAATATCTCTTCCAAGTATTCAAAGACAACGGATACCTGAAAAACTGGGTCAGAAGATGCCAATCACATGAACAACACCAGGAAGATACTACACGCCCCAACACACTCATCACGCTACCTTATAACAGGAACACATCGGAACTGACCACAAGACTCCTACAACCACTGGGCATCAGATTAGCACACAAACCCACATCAACCCTACACCAACTGCTCACCCGAACCTAAGACTCACTACCCACTATGGACAGGACCAACATCATATATAAGATTCCCTGCAAAGACTGTGACAAACATTACATTGGACAGACAGGAAGAAAATTAGCCACAAGAGTACACAAGCATCAACTAGCAACTAAAAGACATGACCAATACTCACTTATCTAAATCCACATGGATAAGCAAAACCACCAGTTTGATTGGGACATCACCAGGATCCTGGGACAGGCCAAGCAGAGACAAGCACATGAATTCCTAGAAGCCTCGTTCTCCACTAAGAAATCCATCAGCAAACACGTAGAGCTAGACCCTATATATGCTCTACTGCAAAGGAAAACCAGAAGTGAGGTAATCCAGCTCAACAGACACCAGAGTTTAAATAACAGGCGGGAAAACACAACAGCGCTTCATCGGAGGCTGCACTGATGATGTTACCCAGCAGGGTAATGAAACGTCTGCAAAACAATGAACCAGCTCAGCGAGCCAACCAACAACAACACCCACAACCCGAGCTACAAATCTACTCTAAAACTTCAAACGTACAAACTTTAAAAACAAATAGTGCATTTAAATAAAATAGCTTTTACTAACCTAAAAGGAAAATGCAATTATTTCTGTTCCCCACCCCCCCCCCCCCCCCACCCTGCTCATCCCTGCGTCTCACCTGTGCTCCCACCCTGTGACTGAGTGCCCATTAGTAGGTTGCTAAGAGGAGAAAAGCAAGTGAGGGAGTAAGAGTGGATGCAGGCAATAAGAGAAGAGAGACTGTTGGGTTGGGGTGGGGTGCAGTGAGCAGGAGGGAGTCGTGAATTGAAGCAACAAGCGGGAGGGGAAATGGCAAATGCGAACAGGTTGGGGTGGGAAGCGGTGTGCAGAAGATGGTCAACGGGCAAGTGGGAGAAGGTTAGTGAGAGAAGCAATAAGCGGCACAAGGTTGGGGAGGAAAGGAATAAGGTGAAGTGGGTCTGGAAGGAAAGTGAAGTGTTGTCAGGGAGACAAGCAGAAGATGGTCAGGGAGGGCAGTAGTGATTAGGAAGTGAAGAGGGAGAGGCTTGGAGGGGACAGTAAATGGCAGGGACTACTCCACATTGGTGTAAATGGGTTACATGAAAAGATGTTAAAGCGAAATTCCCAATGGTCAGTGTGAACAGCAGGCTCATTGTATCCACTCACTAGAACAGAACAATCCTGAATCTAGCCACTTAAAGACTGGACTCAGTGACCTCTAATGACTAAACTTCAGATCTTTGGAGAGAATTGGTTAATATCTGTTCCTTTGACTTGATTGTTTCAGTGTGGATATAAAACTGAAGGTACAAAAGGGTTATTTTTTTAGCTGGTGGTTTAGTGGTTTTGTAAAGAATAACATTCAGAGACATTTTGCCCCTTGATTTATCCAAAAGTTTGTACCAGCCTCATCATGATTCGAATGGAATTCATATGTGGATTCCAATGGACACTGAGTGTCTTTGTGCAAATGACGTATTTCTCAACCCCCTCGACCAGCAATAAATTCTTTGGTACACGTCACTTGCAATATGTAGATAAAGTAGAGAATGGAGTGGCCCCATCTTATGAAGGAGAGCCATTGTTCCTCCTCCTGCTGTTGCATGTCTCCCAGTGCATGTTTGCAGTGCCAATTCCAAGAAATCTGACTCATTTGCTGTAAAACAGGAAGATGCCCAAAGCCTGGGGCACCCTATAGTGGATGTTCTCAGGGAGTACTGCTCTCAATTATAGAGGTTGTTTCTCTGGCTTCAGTAGTACTGTTCCCTCTCGTTTGATTGTAGCAAGAAGTTTTCATTTTCTTAAAATAATTAGGCTTCCAGTTTACAGTATCCTCCCAGGAGCACCCTTCAGACAATCCATTGCAATGCCCTCCCTAACGTTCTTTACTTCCTGCTCTTTCTTTTTTCAGACTCAGCTTGGCTGGATTTACAAAAATAACATTTGGTGCAGACGATAAAATCGTTTCAAATACATCCTTCTATTCGACCTATGAATATTCGGAGAAGATTTTCTTGAAACAAAATCCAGGTTTGTTTCAGAAAAAAAAACAGTTTACATGACTTGGAATGTGTGTCCTGCATCTTCTTTTTCATTCATCATAATATAACGTTTTTAACCTTTTTTGTATTTTATAAGCATTCTGCCCCCATATCCAGGGATTTAAAACATGCCTGTTTCCTTATCTGCCACAATAAAGCTATATTTATTTAATCACACTAGTCCATGTGCTTTCGGATTAAGAAGACTGCCAGTTGGAATCTGTATTTTTTTTTTGCTCCAACTGATGCCCATTGCAGACTGCACTAAGATTGTGTCAGACTTACTTCAAACAATAATGAAAATCTTCTGACTTTTTAATTCTGTCAGTCTGGTCTAAATATTAACTCAGGTTTCAATGTTGGCAGGATAAAGTGCTAAGCCCCTGGACCAACCAGTTTCAGCTGGTACACTATATTCTGACTTTATTAATGAAAATTCAACTCCCTTCAAACAATAATGTATTTTGTGGAGGAGGAGTAAATTGGAGAAGTTGATTACTGAATGTGGGATAAAATATAAGTCCAAAATCTGTCGCCTTAGATTGCAGTGTTCCAGTCATAATTGCTACTGAGTCATAGCTTCTCAAAAAAGAGTGAGAAACGTTCTTTGATAGCAGCCTGCGAGATGTGTTCATGTCTGTTGCTGTGTCTATTCCAGATGTTATTATTGGAGCTGTGGTTGGAACTATCCTAGGGGCAGCAGTCATAATCCTGTTGGTTGTGCTACTCTTCTGGTGGAAGAGACGGTGAGTCAAATCCCTGATCTGTGCATCACGCTCATCCCTTTTTACCAATCATGTCTCACAACTTGTAAATAGTTTTTTCTACCTCTGCATCTTACTGAATGAGCCTTGAAGCTTTTCCACCCCTAGGTGTTGTGGGAAGGATGTCTACTCCATGAAATTTAAATACAGTTGCCGAAAAAAATGATTTAGAAGGATCTAAGCATCGTTCGAACAGGTACCTGAACAGCTTGATGTAATGTTGAGCCAAATATACCAGGAACGTCTCAGCCTGTCTGTACTGAGTTAACTGATCTCAGTGGGTATGATGAGTGCAGGCGAACAAGGCTATTCAGTCTATTTTGCTGTTTCAGAGACAACAAGGTGTAGAGCTGGATGAACACAGCAGGCCAAGCAGCATCAGAGAAGCAGGAAGGCTGATGTTTCGGGCCTAGACCCTTCATCAGAAATGGGGGAGGGGAAGGGGGTTCTGAAATAAATAGGGAGAGAGGGGGAGGCGGATAGAAGATGGATAGAGGAGAAGATAGGTGGAGAGGAGACAGACAGGTCAAAGGGTTGGGGATGGAGCCAGTAAAGGTGAGTGGAGGTGGGGAGTTAGGGAGGAGATAGGTCAGTCCAGGGAGGATGGACAGGTCAAGGGGGCGGGATGAGGCTAGTAGGTAGGAGATGGTGCTGGGGCTTGAGGTGGGAGGAAGGACAGGTTAGGGGGGCGGGGACGAGCTGGGCTGGTTTTAGGATGCGGTAGGGAGAGGGGAGATTTTGAAGCTTGTGAAGTCCACATTGATACCATTGGGCTGCAGGGTTCCCAAGCGGAATATGAGTTGCTGTTCCTGCAACCTTCGGGTGGCATCGTTGTGGCACTGCAGGAGGCCCAGGATGGACATGTCGTCTGCGGAAAGGGAGGGGGAGTTGAAATGGTTCGCGACTGGGAGGTGCAGTTGTTTAGTGCAAACCGAGCGTAGGTGTTCTGCAAAGCGGTCCCCAAGCTTCCGCTTGGTTTCCCCGATGTAGAGGAAGCCACACCGGGAACAGCGGATGCTGTTTCTTTCATTTGAAATGTAGTTTTATTACCTTTCATCACTGAATTCATTCCTTGCTGAATAATCAAGTTTTATGCCTCCATATCCCTTCCCAAATATTGCAGATATTAATCTCTCCATATGGAAGTGCTTCTTGATGTCAGTCCCTGGATCTTTTTGCTGATTTTGTACATTCATGTCTTTAGCCTAAACGAATAGCTTAACTTAAAACAAGGATCTGTTATTTGCCATTCACTTTTACTGGCAAAAGATTTCACTTAAGTGCTCAAATGCATCCTGTGCTTCCCAACCCTCATCAGATTCCATCTTATCAATCTATTTTCATTTTATAAGTCGAGGAAAGGCCTCAAGCTCTTGCTCTGCACTATTTCCAGAATTCACATTGGTTCACCAGCAATGAACACCATTCTTGATTTTCAATGTGACCAGAGAACTTTGCGCCTCCAGTTTGTTCACCATTAAATGGACTTGGCCACTTTCACCTTTTTTAATGTTGTACAGGAGACAGATGAGGCAAGTGGCTTTGATGCATTTTAAGTGAAGCTAGATCACCATAAGAGGGAAGAGGAACTAGAAGATTCTGACAATAGTTGAATGATGAAGGATCAGAGTAGGCTCAAATGCAGCATAAAAGCCAGCATTAACAGGATGGGCCAAATGGCCTGTTTCTGGAGTTAAACTATGTGTTTGTTCCCTTCATTACTTGCTGTTCTGCAATGACTGGGAAATATTTTAGTTGTGAGTCTGATATCAACTGCCATATCTCTTTAAACCTCTCCTGTAGCTACTTCAATACCATTATTTTTATGATTGTCCTTAATGTAGATGGTCTGGACAAGGTTGAAAAGTGAATTCACTTACCCAAAATTGATCTGTTCTTGCTACTCCAGGATATTCATTGTCCCTCCACAACCTAAAATATTCTCGATAATCATTAGCAACATCAGAATAATCTTCAAATCCTTCCTTTCCTTCCCTAAATTGGCCACTTTGGTTGTCTCAGAAGGACAGGAAGATCAACTGTGGGCCGTCCTGCCCAGGTTTTAAATCTTAGCTGAGGTACAGCATCACTCCACTAAATTAAATGCCCTTCCCACCTCCAAATTGACCATCAGCGAGACTTAAAGATTCCACCCCTCATTTTTCCCCTAAAAATTGAAAATCAGACATGTGGCAGTAGCATGGTGTTTTATGCTTTGTATTTAAGCTCATGCCAAAAATAACTGTTGCAGTGCACTTCCTATCTTGGCCATGCCATCAGGTAGAATAATAAATTGGATTCAGGTACTTTCCCCACTGGGAGATGCTAAGTTGAGCTCAGTTGCTTTGCAAGATGGTATAAAACTGACTCCAGACATCTCCAACAAGGAGGCACTATCCTAAGGCGAGGCTGTGCTCCTTTGATTGTGCAACACTGAATCCCAGCTAGGCACAAAATGGAGGCTGGAAAATTCCCTTCCAAAACCAAGATAATCCAAACGATGCTCATCTGCCTTCATTATTCACACACACGGGCATATGTCATCAGTAGACCGAAAGAAGAAAAGAATAGCGCTGGCCAGGTGAAATAATTCTGGATGCAGGAGCAATGTGTTGCCTGCTAGTAAATTGTGTTACCATCTGAGTTCATAGTTATCAATGTACTATTTCTGTCTCTTCACAGAACCAAGTCCAACAATGGGAATTTAACCCAACTTCCAATCCCAGATATCAGGTAATTCTCTTCTTGGATATTAAGACAAAGTATAAAAGGCAGAGGATTATCTAAACAGTAGAAAGACAAATTTTATTAAGATATAATTTTGGTGGGTGTGGGTGCCCAAGTGAAGTAGGAAGAGCAACTACCTGCAGATAATACTTGTCAGAGCAGTGGGGGGCATTGAAGAGCGAAATAGCAAGAGTAGTATGTTTCCATAAAGAGAGAGGGTGGGACCATGACCAGAGAATCCTGGATGTCAACAGACATAAAGGATACGATTAACGAAGAAGAGCAGTTTATGGCAAATACTGAGGGCTTAATATAGCAGAGTCCCTAGAGGAGTGTAGGAGGTGGAAATGCAGGGAGGAACCTAAGGAAATGAGGAATGCAAAAACAGTGCATGAGAAAACAAGTAGAACTAAGGAAATCCCAAAGGGATTTTGTAAATGTATAAACAGCAAGAAAGTAACTCGGGAAAGTGTAGGGACCGTTAGGACCATAAAGGTAATCTGTGTGTCGACCCGAAAGATGTGTGCCAGGACTTCAATGAACACCTTGTGTCAGTCTTCTCAATGGAAAAGGACCGTGCAGGTATAGACATTGGTGTGGAAGACAGTGAAATAGCGGAAGAAATCAACATAAAGAGAGAGAAGAGGCGCTTAGGAGTTTAGCAGCCTTTAATCGTGGGTAAATCTAGGGGTCTAGATAAGAAAGCACTTTCTACAGTAGTCAAAGGATCAGTAACCAGAGGGTGTATAGATTTAAAGCCAAGAGGTAGAAGGCTAAGAGGAGAGATTTTCTTCACTCAATGGTGGGAATCTGAAACTTACTGCTTAAAAGGGTGGATGAGTTGGAGACATGTAAGCCGCATTTAGATCTCCACTGACTTTGCCATAGCATTCAGGGCTATGGTCCCAAAGCAGAGAGATGGGACTGATGTAGCTAATCTTTATGGACTGGCACAGACATGACGGGTGAAGTGGCCTCCTCCTGTGCTGCCAGTGTCTCTGAATCTATTTCATAACACCGTCCACCTAGAGGAATGCCAAAGGTGCTTGGGAAATCAGAAATAAATGAATCCCAGGTCTAAAAAATAGCAAAGAGATGGGCATTGAGAAACCTCTCAAAGGAGGACAGAGTGGTGAAGGAGACCAAGACCGGGGCAGTGAATGCCAGGATATGATGCATAGTTGCCTGAAGTTTAGTGATATTGAGAGGGAGCATAGATAACTGGAGTGAGAGGAGGGATGCATTTTGAGCATTATGGTACTGCAGGAGGTTACATAGGGACGGATGTGGCAAAGAATTAAAATGAGGATAACAATTTTAAATTTAACTTATCAAAACAGTAGATGCTAAAATACCTTACCAAAGGTTAGATGAACGATGAGCAGAACTTGGTGCTGGATATCATAGAAGAATACTTTGGGATATGTTGAGGTTTACAGAGGGTGAGGGATGGCAAGTTGGCTGGGCCAGCATTGTGCTGTTCAGGGCTGGAAAGATAATGGTGTGGCTGAGGGTTTCCGTGAATTCTTTGACATATTTTAGTCCTATTTGGCGCTTATATGGTCAGTTGATATATTGAGACCGTTAGGCCAAGTTACCCACTGATAACAAGGAGAGAAGCATTCAGTCATGGTATCTCCTCAAGCGTCGTTTTCCTGGCACACAGCATCAAAGTAAAAACCACCTTTACAGGATGTCTGATGCATGCATACGTTGGCTAATAATTAAAACTCTCTCTCTCTCTCTCTTTCCACCCCGCCCCTGCAGGGAAGCAAGACGGTAAGTCCTTTTTATTGTAGCAATGTATCCATCCTTTGCAGTCAGATGACTCACTAACACTGAGTCTAGTCTTATTTCGACTTCACGACCACTTGAGCAATGTATGAGAAAGCTACTGATAGCCATAGAATAAGTTTGAGTGGAAGAATCAAATAATTTTGCTGTCACAATAGCCAAATGAAACAAAATATGCCTTTAGACCCAGTGAACAATGTCAGTATGTCTGCTCTCCCTGTAGTGATCACTGCGTTGCATGCATTTGTAAATTACGGAGGCATTCTCTGTGCTAACACTCATTAACAATGTTGTGTCTGCTTCATGTTACTGGTGTAATGTTTCTTGTTGCTATCCAATTTGTTTAGTGTCTATCCAATTTGTTTAGTATAGGCAGATGACGGTTCCTGAGAATGCAAGCACTTCATGTACTGGAAGCTCATATGAAAAAGAAATCCAATAAGTGATTTTTAATTAGTGTCGGGACTAGAATTATGGAATTAATGCTCCTCGTCTTAGCTGGCTCCAAAGTAAATGGGACTAGAAAAAAGAAACCTGCATTAAACTAACCTGAACATGTTTAGAACAGCATCAACAAGGCTTTACTTTAAATTCAATCTGTGCTGCACCTGATTCCAGATTGATTGCAGCACTGCACTGATAAAATTCTATGCTTTATGACCCTGCATGTTCTTTTAAATATCAACATTTTATTTCTCCTCTGGTCTGCAATTTTGAAAGTTCTAAATGAATTAATGAACTTATTGATATGCCTTGTTACTCTTCTTAGTGCCATCAATGTGGAATACTTTGAAGGATATTTCAGTAAGCAGCATGCTGACTCTGACTGTGGATTTGCTGAGGAATATGAGGTTAGAGTATTAATTCTATTCAGTAATTTGTTTCTATATCCTCCATTCTGCTTTACTTCCATTCTGATCTGGGGCAGGCTGTACTCTTCTCAGGCCAGTGTTTTTTTTTTCTTAAATCAATGCTTTAGCATTATCTAGGTTTATAGGATCTTGTGTTGTCAGAAAAGCATTCAGCCTAATAGTGCAGCTTGCATGTGGAATTCGTGAGGCTGTCTTCCTCACTGACCCTGCTATCGCTGCAGTTCTGTTATAGCTTCACCATGCTGCCAAAGGACTTGGTGTTGCTGTAAATCCTTCCTCATCTCCATGCTCACATTAACCATTGGGTAATCACATTGCAACCATAAAACCTAGGAGCAGAAGTAGGCCATTCAGCCCATCCGTTTTATCGGGGTGTCTGACACATCAGTTATTTAATTTGAAGGACCCTACAAATTAGCAATTCTGTCTGTCTGTGCGGCGTGTGTGTGTGCGTGTGTGTGCGTGTGTGTGTGTGTGAGCGATCTAATTCTGCTGCCTTGAGAATTATATTACTATACTCATTTATGATACATGTCAAACAGCAGAAGCAGCTTCGACAGATAGGGCTAAGCGATCCCACAGCCAACAGATCAGCTCTAAGCTCTGCATTCCTGCTACATTCTGTAAGGAATGGTTGTAGACAAATTGAAAAAAACCATAACATGAGATGGAGATGCCTCAAATACCCCCATCCGGAACAACAGGGGACACACAGCCCATCAGTCCAAAAGGTGAGGCTGAAAAATTTGCAGCAATCTTCAGCCACAAGTGCCCCCAGTAGGTGATTCATCTCAGCCTGCTCCTGAGGTTCCCAGCATAACCAAAGCCAATAGTTGACCAATTTGATTCACTCCATCTGATGGCAGTAGAGGTTGCAAAGACTATGGACCCTGACAATACTCCAGCAATGGTACTGAAAATATATGCTTCACACCACTCCACACTCCCAACCAAGCTGTTCGGGTACAGCTACAACACTGTTATCTACCTGACAGTGTGGAGACTCGACCACGAAAGGAAGACAAACATGGCAAATTACCATCCCGTTGGTGTACTCATGATCATCAATGACGTGATAGGTAGGATGGTCAACAGTGTTAAGAAGCAACACTTGCAATAGAATAACGCGGCTCTCTGACACTCAGTTTGGGCTCCACCAGGGCCATATGGTTCCTGACTTCATGATAGCCTTGGTCCAAGCCAGGACAAAAGAGCTGAACCTCATTTTTGAGGTGAGTCATTGTCATTGAGATCAGTATAGACATTTGACCAAATGTGGCATCAAGGACCCCCAGCAAAACTGGAGTCAAGAGAAAGTTGCCCACTGGTTGGGCTCACCGCTGGCACACAGAAAGATGGTTGCGGTTGTTGGAGATCTCAGCTCCTGGACATCTCTGCAGGAGTTCCTCAGAGTGGTGTAATAACCTCGACTGCTTCATCAATGACCTTCCCTCCACGATACTGTCAGACATAGAGTTGATTCACTGATGACTGCATAATGTTAAGCACTATTTGTGACTCCTCTGATACTGAAGCAGCCTATGTCTATGTGCAGTAAGACCTGGACGCTATTTAGGCTTGGGCTGATAAATGGCAAGTAACGTTCACACCATGCGAGTGCCAGGGAATGGCAATCTCCAACAAGACAGAGTCTCACCTTTGCTCTTTGACATTGCCATTGTTGAGTCCTGCACTATCAACATCCTCAGAATTGGGATTGGACAGTTGCCAGATAAGTACCATGGCTACAGGAGAAGGTCAGAGGCTAGAAATTCTATGGAATACTACCCACCTGTCTGGATGAGTGGTACTCCAACAACACTCTGAGCTTGACGCCATCCAGGACAAGGCAGTCCACTTGACTGGCACCACATCCACCACTTTCAACATTCTCTCCTTCCACCACTCATGCCCGGTGGCATCAATATGTCACATCACCAAGCCTCCTTCAACAGCACTTTTCAAACCCACAATCAAGAAGAACAGGGGCAGCACTTATGTGGGATAACTACAGCCTGCAACTTGCCCTCTAAGTTTCTCATCATCCTAAATTAAAACTATATCACTGTTCCTTCACTGTGGCTGGGTCAAAACCCAGAAACTCTCTTCCTCACAGTATTCTGGGTATGCCCTCACTCCAAGGCTTGTAGCAGTTCATGAAAGTAGCTCCCCACGACTTTGGCAATTAGGATAGGCAATGAACGCTGACCTAAGCAGCAATGCTCATATCCCAGGAACTTATTGGAAAAAAAACATATTGTTTGGAACCAATATGTTAACAGTCACCACATCTTTACAACACAGTTGAAGCAATAAGTGTGACTAAACTTGGCAGATCAGTAAGAGTCTGCTCCACATCACAAAGGCTGCTTTATCAGCTAATTAAACCAGGAAATCCTGTGATAGATTGCTGAAGAATGCTGAATCATTGACTATTGTCATAAACCCAGTGAAGAAATCACAGAGCTGAACACAATATGCTTGAAATACAAATCGGGCTACAAATACGAATAGAGTGGGATATTAAACACAATGAAATTCCTTGCCACCTTTAAACTTCGTAAGGCTCCGAAAGCTTGTGTTTTCAAATAAACCTGTTGGGCTACAACCTGGTGTCATGTGACTTCTGAGCTTCCCTTCAACGAATAACTGAACTGTGACCCTTGACCCTTTTACTTTTCTTACCTCTGGGAAAGGCTGGGTTAGAAATAAACCTGAAAATTTGAGACATTGCTTAAGAAGGTTTTAATGCATTTTTCAAGTGGGAAGGCCAACTTCCCAAACAAACCCCTCACTCCTGGATCTCCCCTTTCTAGGAACTGAAGACAATTGGAACCTCGCAGTCAACACAAGCTGCACAGCAACCCCTGAACAAGCCGAAGAATCGTTACAATAACGTCTTTCCCTGTGAGTACCTATTTCAATGTTCAATCTATTTATCTGCCTCCTTTCACCCTTTTTTGACACAGCTTTTAAGTGCCCTGTATGTCTCTACTCCCTTCTCCTTTATATATATCCCTCTCTCTACCTCACCCCTCACCCCTCTCCCTGTTGCTTTAAATTCCCAATTTTCTCTTTCCCACCCTTCCTCTTTCTTGAGACGTTTTTAAGCATTTTGGTAGAACTGAGTAGCTTGCTAGGCCAGAGGACTGTTGGCATTGCTGTGGTCTGGAGTCATGTGTAGGCCACACCAGGTAAGGAAGGCAGATTTGCTTCCAGAAAGGGCACTGGTCAACCAGGTGTGGTTTTACGACGATCAACATCATTAGATCTTTAATTCTAGATTTTTTTTTTTAAAGCATTCACATTCTGCCACAGTGGGATTTGAACCCAGATCCACAGAGCTTTCCTGTGTTTTTGGATCACTAGTTGAGCAACAATCCCACAACATCACTCCCTCACGGATCAGGATGATGCATAAATCAGTACATGCTAATAGACCAGTAATAAGTGGTCCATCTGTTTCGGTGATGTACAAGGTTTCAGGTGTCTATCCTGAGGATCTATGTTGACATTTAAGGTAGATAATATGATTGCTTTGGCTGTCAGACCGGTTATATAAGCAGTTGGCTTATCATGTGTGATCTGCACTGCATTGTGCCAGTTTCTTGAGTTTATTTCATGTAAGATGCAGAAGCAATGGTATTTACACTTACATCACAGCCAATGTTGACTTACAGTGCATGTCATTTAGGTACATTGCTAGGACGGAAGTAAAGACGTCAGCTTTTCTGATAGTATCAGTGAGATTTGTCAAAGTGACCACATGCACTGCCTGACTCACGTCTGCAAACTTTTTAATGTTGCAGTTACCTGCTTCGACCCCATTGGTGTGCTTGTTTGCCACAAATGGGAGTTTGGAATATGTATTTGGCATAGTTCCTTGGCTGGCTTTCTTAATGTGCCACTGTGGAGAATTGTGTGGCACTTTGGGTTTCAGAGCGCTGAGCGCTCATGCACATTCTAGCCCAATGACAACTTGTAGAACGTAGCTTGTGCCTGTCATGAAATACCGGAACATTGTTTGGTGAATGAGAGAACTCTCATCTCGACTAAGATTCTGTTGTTTCACTGACAGCTGCAATGTTTATTGCAGAGTCGAGCAGTTGCAAATACTGCTGCCCTGATGCTATAGTTTTGAACTACCCACCTCCTCCTCGCATTGCATTGAATTAGAATTTATTGTCACATGAAATCAAAGCTTTGATTACAGTGGAAAGTTTACAAGTCACCACTTATGGCACCATCTTAGGTACAAATTCTTAGGGGGAACAAAATTAGAAAAATAAAGAAATTAAAAAGTTCAGAATAACAGTCCTTCAAACCCAGTCCACACTGGTCTTGACTCCAGTTCATGCCAGGCCTTGACTCCAGACCATGCCGGGCTTCATATCGAGGCCGCAAGTCCACACTGAGGCCATGCCAGGCTGGGAGACAGCCACGCCAGATCCGCACTGAGGCTGAGAGCCCAAGTCCGCACTTTGTGCTTTCAAGTAATTACCAGGTTGTCATTGATCCGTCGCATCATTAAAACAAACACTTTGTGGATTTCACAAGTTTCAAAATCTCCCCTCCCCCCCACCGCATCCCAAAACCAGTCCAGCTCGTCCCTGCCTCCCTA